CTGTTGTATAACAGGAGCTTGTTCTTCTGGTTCAGGGTCTTTAGGTATAATACCAACGAACTGACCTACTCTTTTACCAATATTTTTGACTCCGTTCCAAATTCCTCTTCCTACGGTTTTTATTCCATTCCATATACCTCTTCCAACATTTCGAAAGAAGTTTCCTATTCTTCCAAAGAAACCCATTTTACTATATGTAAAAATCTAATGTCCACCTAGTCTCTTACGTTTCCTGTTGAGTTCCATAGCATTTTTTAACTGGAGCTCATACATTCTATTTCTCCTCTGGTAGAAAACATACTCTGGGTCAACTCCTGTGTTCGCGTCATCTGCATAGAGTTGTTTATATCCCACTTCAGGGTTTGTATAAAACTCTTTCCATCTCATATTTGCATACCATGGTGGTAAGCCTAACGCAGCGTCATTTGACATGGCAGTTTGCATTTGTACATCTGTTGGCACTTGACCATAGTTTGCCATTGCAGTTTGTATTCTAACTTCATTTGGAATATTCTCTGGGTTTGGTTGTCCAGGTTGCTGTGCATTCGCTAAGTTCTGTGCGTCCATTTAATATTAGATAAAAATATCTCTTACGAGTACATATGCTGAACATTTGCAGACATTGGTTCATCTTCATATTCTCTATATCTTTCTGCCACGTCAAATAAATAAATGACACAATGGAAAAAACCTAAAACAAGTAGTCCTATTTCAAACCACATTTACTTACTAATAAAATTTCTTTGTTATGACTTCTTCGTAAAGACTTTGTTGAGATTTCTTCGTAAATGAGTGTAAATGACCCAAAAATATATTTTAGGGTAGAAGGGTATATCTAACCTCTTTTCTAACCTCATTTCTACCCTCTTGAATTTTCATGAACTTTCTTGTCTATGTTTTGTTGAGATTTCTTCGTAAAGACTTTGTTGAGACTTCTTCGTAAAGACTTTGTTGAGACTTCTTCGTAAATGACCCAAAAATATATTTTAGGGTAGAAGGGTATATCTAACCTCTTTTCTAACCTCTTTTCTACCCTCTTGAATTTTCATGAATTTCTTCGTAAAGACTTTGTTAAGACTTCTTCGTAAAGACTTTGTTGAGACTTCTTCGTAAAGACTTTGTTGAGACTTCTTCGTAAAGACTTTGTTGAGACTTCTTCGTAAAGACTTTGTCAAGACTTCATCGTAAAGACTTTGTTGAGATTTCTTCGTAAATGACCCTAGTAGTATATTTTTTGGTGTAAATTTCATGAAAATTCAAGAGGGTAGAAAAGAGGTTAGAAAAGAGGTTAGATATACCCTTCTACCCTAAAATATATTTTTGGTGTAAATTTCATGAAAATTCAAGAGGGTAGAAAAGAGGTTAGAAAAGAGGTTAGATATACCCTTCTACCCTAAAATATATTTTTGGTGTAAATTTCATGAAAATTCAAGAGGTTAGAAAAGAGGTTAGATATACCCTTCTACCCTAAAATATATTTTTTGGTGTAAATTTCATGAAAATTCAAGAGGGTAGAAAAGAGGTTAGAAAAGAGGTTAGATATACCCTTCTACCCTAAAATATATTTTTGGTGTAAATTTCATGAAAATTCAAGAGGGTAGAAAAGAGGTTAGAAAAGAGGTTAGATATACCCTTCTACCCTAAAATATATTTTTGGTGTAAATTTCATGAAAATTCTGAGTAAAATGACAGATGTTTATATGACACTTTCTCCGGTTTATAGGACCTCTCTCATATTCTAAACATCTTCGGGGCTAGAGGGCACGAAGTGCCTGGAAGCCCCACTACCTTTTTTTTTTTTTTTTTTTTTTTTCTTTGAAAAGAATATAATATAGGTTAAGGGTTTCGTTTTGCGAAAAAAAGTACAATACGCAATTTCGCTAAAAAAACATTTAGCTAGCAATTTCGACCTTTGACTCCACTCAAGACGTCACTTTTTAATTTTGCGGTATCATATTTTTGGAAAATCTTTATGAATAAAAAAAAAAAAAAAAAAAAAAGGTATTGGGGCTTCCAGGGCTGCGCCCCTCTAGCCCCCTGAAGATGTTTAGTATAACATGCAGTTTATATAAAATGAGGTTTTTTTGGGTGAAGCGGGCTTCCCAGGCACTTCGTGCCTTCTAGCCCTAAAAATTTTTGAAAGTCGTTGCTGTTGACTTTTCGGTAGAGGACTCAAAATAGTAGAACTATGTCCGGACAAGTAAGGGTCTATCGTCGCTACGTCACCAGGTCCCTCGGTCCCTCGGTCCCTCGGTTAAACCAACTTCTCTGAAAAAATGAGACAACATGACATTTTGACAACAGTCCAGGAAGTCTTAACAAGATAGAATATGAGAGAGGTCCTATAAACCGGAGAAAGTGTCATATAAACATCTGTCAAAAACCGCTTTTTAACTTCACTTAAAATGCCACGTAAGCTACGTAAGAATATACGTAAGAGGAAGAGAGCATTGAAACATCCAATAGTAAAACTGACACCACAACAACAGTTGCAACAACAAATGATGAATGACCCCACTATGTTGCAACAAATGTCAAGCAATCCTATGCTTTTAAACCGAGTTTTTGGTGCACAGAGTGGAGGTTTAAGAGCGGCACTTTTAGCGAAAATGGCAGGCTATGGTGGAGCTGCAGACGGAACAGCATATAACCCTCAAAGTCAAATGAATTTGAGTTCACTCAAAAATCAAATAGCAGATGTCAAAAAGTCAAACATAGACATACAGAAGCAAATAGGTGAAAACGAAAAGAAACTAGAATATGACAGACACACAAAGAAACTCAATGAGTTAAACGTAGAGAAAAAGAAGAAAGAAGAACAACTGAAAGAACTAAGTACAGAGGAATATGCGAAAAAAGTGTCAGAAAAAGCAGCAGAAGTAGCAAAAATGGAACAAGATGTCATAAATTTGAAAAACCATACTACTCAATATAAAATACTGAAAGATGAAGAGATAAAACAAAAAGCCCTGAAGACATATATGGATAGCGATGAGTATAAAAAAGAAGTTGAAGCAAATGTAAAGGCAGAAAAACTTTTACATTTGCAAAACCAAACCGTACAGTATGAAAACTTAGCACAAGAAAGTAAAAATAACGACGCAGCCATGCAAAAGGCAATGAAAAGCGCAGAATATATAAAAGCTAACAATGACTGGTTAGATGCCCAAGCCAACGCTAAAGCAGCCCAACTCATAGGGTCAATAAGGACAAAAATACAAGCGGATGAAGACAGTTCAAATGAAGCTTTAACAAATGCTGACTTTAAGAACGCCTTCGAAGCTCTTCATAGTAAGGTGAAACAAGTGAACGACTTCTCATCTGGAAAGAAACTGAAGTCTGAAGGTTTCGACAAAGAGTTAAAAGAAGTAGCACAAAATATGACGAAAATAACAGATGCAGCAACGAGACAGGTAGTTCAAAGTGCCTATGACGCCGTTAGAGCAACTGTTGTGGAAAGTCAAGAAAAAGAGTTACAACAGACCAAAACAGACCTAGTAAATGCTTTCTTAAGAACGAAAAGTCAGGTAGGACATTACGCTGCAGATGGAACATATGTGCCAGCTGGTGGAACTTATATACCAGCTGTTGGAATTTATATACCACCAAACCCTCCAAGAGAAGCACCTGCACCAGGACTACCTAAAACATTTACATCGTCACATGGACACAGACATAGGCATGCACCAAAACCAACACAACAACCAACACAACAACCAACACAACAACCAACAGTTCAAAACCCTGCACAACAACAACAACAACAACCAACAGTTCAAAACCCTGCACAACAACAACCACAACCAACAGTTCAAAACCCTGCACAACAACAACCACAACCAACAGTTCAAAACCCTGCACAACAACAACAACCACAAACAGAGCAAGGACATAAAAGAAGTAGAGAACAAGGAAACCAAGAATTCTTAAAAAGGCTTAAGGAAGACTATGGTTACCCAGATAGTATTGACTTTAGTGACAGATATAAAGAAGCTATTAGAAAGTTCAAGGATGGAAATACTGACCCGAACCTATTTAGCTTTATGGTTCAGCATAAAATCGGATATAATTTCAAACCTGGAAAATACAAGCTCGCTAAGGGATATGATTTAATAGCATATCATCCAAATGACATGGATGAATTTACTCCGAGATATTTGATGTCAGAGCTAAATGACAATTCAACTCCCGTCATGAAACGCGTAAAAAATAGAGACGGAACGAAAGAAGAAAGGTTTTTGAGTCCGGATGACTTAGAAAGGGAACTTGTTGAAAACGGTCTCGGAATATATGAAATGCCAGCAGATGAGGTACAAGAAACTCCACAGGAAGAAGTTCAGATACAACCAGACATGGAAGAAATAGTTCAGCAACAACAGCTAGAAGAGCCTGAAGGAAACGAACAAGTCCTTCCTTTGGAAACTAACTTCACAGAACTAGATGAAGATTTGGAACAGCCGAAAAATCTTGACCCTCAACAAGAGTATGCGGAGAATATGGAATATTTCCAAGAGTCTAAAAAAAATTCGGCTGACATAGTAGAAGAATATCGAAAAATGTTTGCCGACATACAAAAGACTCCAACACCAGATGAAAATATTCAGCATAGAATGGAAGTACTGAAAGAAAATGTACACAAATACAACAACCCTTTTTACTTACGAGCATTTAACGTTCAATCTTCGGATGAACTCGGTGAAGATAAAAGGTTAAATTTCAAGAAAACATATAGAAATGAAACATTGTTTAAAGTTCATTCAGAACCTAGCCAAGATGGAAACAAACCTACTTTTGTTTCTGCAGACGATGGAACTACAATGAGATGGGGTCATAAAGCTAACCCGGATAGGTGGTTCATAAACTTACAACCTCAATTCCAAGAAGTTGTAGACGCAATGGAAGTCAATGGTGAACCAGATATAGCTGGTATTTTAAGCGCGGCTTTAATGCCATTGAAAGATATGAAACATGCAGATATTTTGGACCAGTATGAAATGAACATGGCTGATGGAAATATAACACCTGACGTTCTAGAACATTTATCTCAAAGAACTACACAGAACCATAAAGATGGTATATTTGGTGAAGAGTTTAGAAAGAAAGTTAGGGAGAGAGAAGGAAGAGAACCTATTGTACATGACCTTGCAAACGAAAGTTTGCAAAATGTCATAAAAACTTACTTTGCATACGATGAACTGAGAAGGGATGAATATTTAAGAAAACTCAAATGGACAGTACCAAATGAAATGTTAGTATTGAAAAACATGTTCCTTGACAAAATAAAACCAACTACAGAAATAAACGACGCAAGACTGAAAGATTGGGTAAAAGCTTTCCCATTCACAAAAGATATAGTTGGTAACATGGAAAGAAAACCAGAATGGCTACAAAAACATATATTTGGAAACGAGCATATTCCATATGGACAGGCACTGTTTGAAGAGCTTGAACCGGAAACTCAGGAAAGAGTCATGCAAACAATACGCGAAGACTCAAATACAAACTATGACAAACTCTTTCTAGGATATAGGTTACCTGAGATGGGCGACCAGAGCCCAAAGGCAAAAAGGACATGAGAAATTTACAACATACTAGGTGAACATGAGGCAAAGATGCAACAACTTGAAGCAGAGGGCAAGTTACCAAAAGCGACACCAAAGAAGAAGAGAAGAGTAGAACAAAGTGAAAGTAGTGAAGAACAAAGTGAAAGTAGTGGCAATGAAGGAAAAAGAAGAGTTAAAAACTCAGTCAGGAAGAAAGTAAAGCTTGGTCGGAGTGGGTTCTATTATGACAAATAAACCCAACTATTCTATATTTTTACCCATATGAAATGTACGCCGCTCAGAATATAACGCCAACAGTTTTGGATGCTATGAATGGAAATGTTTCCGAATGGTATAACGAATGCGACAATGCCATTAGAAGGTCAGAAATAGTTCCTGGAACTTACGAATATACAACTGCTGTTTCTTATGGAAACGTAGGTGAGTTTGGAGAAGGTTCTTCAACAACAGTAGATATTGCTTGCGACAGGTTTCATATAATTTCTATTGACAACTCTTTCTTATACGTGGAACAAGACATTGAAATAAAACCTTCTGCCAAGTTGTCTGACAAGAAAGGTTGCAATGGAATTTTCTATGTCGGATACCAATATGCTCCAGAAGTTTTCATGGGATATAAGATATATTCTAACTCTGACTTAGTTCAAACAGTAACATGGGCAAACTATGAATGGTTCGCTTTGAGAAACTCAGTACAACCACAAGCTAGAGAACAAACAGACCAGTATGCAACTATTGAGAAAATAAGAAGACTTGACCCTAACGTTCCAGGAGTTTATGTTAACCTTTCTGGACAAACTGCAGCAGCAGTAACCAAAGTAAAATTGAAACTTAGAGTTCCTTTGTCATCTTTCCTCATCTTCAGGTTTTTAAGATACTTGCCAAACTGGGCAGGAAAAATTTCTATTGAACTTACTCCAAGCAAAAATAACTTAGTCATTGCACCAACACAAGACCCATTCACTCTTACAGAAGTAGTGGGAACAAATAAAATGTCATTCGCCGACTTTTGCAAAGACAAAGTTGACTTAGACTTTGGTTTCTCAAACCTCAACACTGAAGTAAACTATTATTTCAATGCTGCTGGAAATGCTTGGGACCCAGTTAAGTTCACATGCGAACAGTTTGAATGCAAGAGAATAGAAAGCAGACTTGCCGTTTATATGTTGGACCCAGATATTTCAAATGCTTTAGCTGCCAAATATATTGCAGTTCCACTTATGTTCCCTATACACCAAATATCTGTCAAAGACTTTGCAGGTGAAGTTGGAAACCAAAGTGCTGACCCGGGTGCAAGAACAGATATTGCTTTAACAACTGCAATGAAACATGCAGATACTATGTTTGTACTGTTCAGACGAACTATAAATGACTATTCTTGTTTCTACAACCCTGGTATTAAATATCATATAAACATAGATGGCAAATATTATCCAGAGAAGAAATATTCTACAGTTGAGGATATGAGGTCATACAACTTGACATTAGATGCTATGAACTTTAACAACAACTTCACAAACAACCATTAACCCTGAAATGCAAAGTTCTATTATGCCATATGTGAAAGTATGGACTCATGCAGGAGGTCAAAAAACTCAATATACAAATGGAGACCGTTCAAACTTTTGGCTTGGCATTCCATTTGCTGACTCAGAAGACTTTATGGGTGGTATTTCAACTGTTGGTACAGTTCAAATACAATATACTGGTGACAGAGACGGTCCAGATGAATTGAAAGCAAAGAAGTTTACAAAACCAATAGCACTTTTCACGGAAGATGCTCTTTGAAGATTCGTTCGATGAAACCTGCTGGGGCTCCTCAGATTGGCATAACGACAGCTTCCATCGAGCAGATTTTTGGCAGCAGGTCAGTAAGTTGTTCTTGAACTGACTTCTCTCCGTCAAATATTGACAGTACGCCAGTTTTGACATAATATTGTATTATAAACTTACCTTTAGAAATATCTGTAAGTTTTGAAGTTATATTTTTGTCTGCTTCAAGAACTTTCACCATTTCAGTTATACCAACTTTCTTTGCTTTATGAAAATATTTAGGTTCAGCAAAGACTGCTATTCTATAACATTTTCCATTGTTTGTATAAAGAACTATTCTGTCAATGTATTTGTATTGTTTGTGTGTGTAAACTTTGTTCTGCTTCAATTCAATAAGATATCCGAATACGTCCATCTTTTTATTCTAAGTAAAATGTCATTTCCGAAAAATAGAAGCGTGAGTGTTTCAAAAGGTTTAATGGCGGTGGCAGATGTGAAGTTAAATTCACCAACTCAAACAAACAGTCAAAGTGTTGTTGTCAATGTCAAAGACAGAGATGTTGAAGTGGGGAAACCATACGAAGACGAAGATGGTATAACAATTGTTCCTGTAAAAGAACCAACATATCCTGAAGTTAGCAGAGACTTAAGTTCTGTTGCAGATATTCGAAACGACTACCAACAACTGAAAGACAAACTTCAAACTCAGGAGAAGATTTGTCAAGCTTTAGGTATAATGTTTAAACTTGGTCGAACACAACCTGTAAAAGTGAACTCATATGTCATTGCACCTCATGAAGTCTTGAAAGAACTATTGAAACTTTTGACAGAGGCAGACGATATAAACATCAAAGAAATAGAACCCGACATTAGTTGCTGTGGTGTTTCATATAATGTCATTGACAAGATATACGTTATGAAAGGAGGTGAAACGTTGAACTTAAAGTATAGTTTCCCAGACGTCATAAAAATATTTGACGACCACAACATTTCAATTAAAAATTTATTTGCTAAGTAAATGGCAGAAGATATAATGGTTTATACTATTACGACTAAAAACCCCGAGTCATATAATTCTATAACAACAAACTTACAAAGTCCTCAAGGACGATATTGTAAACTAACCTTAAACACAATGACGACTAAAGCCTTGTTTTGCTCTTTTGACACCAGAAGACTTTATTGTTGTGAATGGTAAAAAATACTCCTTTGAAGATACTTACTCAGATATACCACCAACAGGTTTTGTTGACTTATTTAAATACTTTAAGGACGGGTGTAACATGTGCTGCAACTAGAGCAGGTTTCATTATGTTTGGATGTCCGACTGAGTTTACTATAAACGATATGAGCTATAATACAAAACTTATATCTGGTTTTTTACTACCAACAGTTTCCTATAACAGGAAAAGGTGTCATACAAGGAATGTCTGTTCCATTGACATTAAGCACACCAATCTTATATATATTGTTTCAAACTTAGGTTCAAAGTGTTATTCGAATGTTGACAGAAACTATTATGACCAAAAGATACTTAATGCGTATAAACAATACTTTCTCTGCTGGTTTGCCTATTGTTCATTCGAATGCAGAATTTTCAACCTTAGTGAACTCAAACACTTTGGCAAGTATAAACGTTGACATTAGTTGACGCAAACTTTGTTCCTGTAAAACTTTTATGTCCTATGTATTTGTCAATGACGGCAGAAAGTTTCGAATTGGAAGATGCAACTGTGTGAAAGTATTGTATTACAAGAACAACTTCAACAACAAATAGCTCAAGAACAACAAATGCAACAAATGGAACAACAAAGTCAAGAATAAAAAAAAATATTTTTTTTATTTTTATAAAAATGTACAAATAGATGTTTCAGATTTTTATGACTTCCAAGCATTCAGAAATATGTGTCCATTTAGAGACTATAACAAGCAGTCGAGAATTTGAAACGTTTAGTCATTTATGTCGACTCTGCCCAGAATGTTATGTTATGAAAGAATGGGATGTTGTCTTTAACAAACCAAGAGCAACAATAGTGTCTGAACAAGAATGTAGACAGAAACTTAAGAAAATAAAAGTCGTACAAGTTGGCATGAAGATGTTAGATGCTTGGGATATCTTATTGTCAAAGTTAGAAGATTTTTCAGTTCGTGGTATAAAGTTTTATACACCATCTCCAAACTTCTATTCTATCTCACATGGATATAAATACGAACAAGTAGAATGGAAAGAAAATATTATAGAAGCTTGGTTAGACCATGTCAAAGAAATTATATGCAATGGAAACGAAAAGGTTTATGAGTATATCTTATGTTGGTTTGCAAACATCTTACAACATCCAAGTGCTAAAAATGAAACTGCTCTCATTATAATTGGAAAACAAGGAACTGGTAAGAACACATTCTTTACAGATATCTTATGCAAACTATTAGAAGGTTATTCGAATCCGAATATGACAAACTTAGAAAACATCTGCAAGTTTAACTCTCAATAGAGAATATGAAACTTATAGTTTGCAATGAACTTCAAAGTATAGATACAACAAAAGTTTTGAACTCAGATGCTTTGAAGAGTCTTATAACAGACAAAGTTGGAGTTGTTGAAAGAAAATATAAAGACCAAAGAGTTTGTGAAAATGTTGCAAACTTCATTATGGTTTCAAACAATGTTGTTCCGATGAAGTTAGAAAGTTCTGACAGAAGATATGTAGTTGTCAGAACGTCAGATTCTCATATGCAAGATACAGAATATTTTGACGACTTAGCAGAAACTTTGACATCTGACTTTTACAACCACTTGTTCTCATATTTCATGACATTAGATATTTCTAAGTTCAATCCAAGACAAATTCCACATACCGAAGAGAGACAAACATTGTTAGAAGCAAACAAGAGTGTATATGAACTGTTTATAGATGAGACTAACTTTGTGTCATTAGATGAAAGGTCATTGTACGATTCGTATAAACAATATTGTCAAGAATATGGTTATATGGCAGCTTCTAAACGAACATTCTTGGCAAATGTCAAAAGTCTTTTAGATGTTCAGAATGGTGTATATACAAAGAAAAATTTTTCTGAGTAAATTTTAAAAAAAATATTTTTTTATCCGATAGAAAAGATGACGAAATTCATCTCAGTAAATAAGTACATGACAGAAGTCAAAGATAAGTTAGCTCCATTCGCATATTTGAATGTTTACTTCTACAATTTTGAAAAGTCTACATTTGACAAAATTTGGAACATTGCACCAGTTAAGTTTGCTGTTGTTAGAAAAAGTGGTGCAACTTTTGAAGACTTAGACATAGAAGGTTTGTTAGCAGTTAAAGAAAATTTTGACAGAAAGTTCTCAAAACTCGAAGAAGGTAAAGCATACAAACTTGTTATACCTTATGAACCAAAGAAAGCAGACGACTATGAATATTATGAGTCTAAGATAGTTGAAGTTCAAGGTAAATTGGGTA